GTTATTTGAACATAAAGCACATTGTCCAGTGATGTAAATCTATCATCAATGACGATAAGCACTGCCCCTTACAACCTGCCACCAGGATGAATCAATCCTGTCGCAAATGACAGTTCTCCAGCTGGCTGCTGAATGTCAACAAACCAGTCAGGGATGCTGGCTGATGTCATTGACCAAATATTGTTATGACATTGTGTGGTCAATGATGTCACCTGGGATCCCCCTCCTGCTTTGTTTACAAACAAAGGCAGACCAGAGAAGGAACTGCCATTATCCACTTGCCCTTCGGAAGATTTACTCCTTTCCTAACCAGGCCATTTTTTGCAATATGGTGCTGCATTACTTTAACTTACAATTGCACAGTCATGCAACGCTGTACATAAATGAAATTTATGCAATTTTTTTTCCCCACAAATAGAACTTTCTTTTGGTGGTATTTGATCACCTTTGCATTTATTATTTTTTGCACTATAAGCAAAAAAAGACCAACAATTTTGAAAAAAAAACCCCAAAACATTCTTTTTGACTTTTTGCTATAAAACATATCTAAGAAAAAAATTTAAAAAATAACATGAAAGTTATAGCATCTACAAATACTGCAATTTTTATTTATTTTTTTATACTAGTAATGGCGGCAATCTGGGACTTATAGTGGGACTGAGGTGGGCATTCTGACACTAACTGACACTGGGTGGAAACTGACTAACTACCACTGACATCTCCAGTGCCACTAATATAGTGATCCATGATAATAAATAGCACTGACACTGTACTAATGACACTGGGCAGGATGGGGATAACATCTGGGGTGATCAAGGGGGTTTAAAATGGCAGTCAAGGGGTTAATATGTATCTAACTATGGTGTGTGTGCAAATATGCTGTTTTACTCACATGTGGTGTGTCTTTCTTCTCTCTCTGGAATGAAAAGGTTTTACAAATACAGGCACAGCTCTGCTTCTTCATTCGTTGCAGGAGATCATCAGAGTCCCAGCCAAAAAATCATTGGCTGGGACCTGCTGACAAATATGTCCTACAGCGAAATATGGTGGGGGTCAGCACAAAGGGGGGACATAGGGACGTACAGGTACGTTGCTGGTCCTGTAGCTGCCGCTAGTCCGCAGTACATTGTGGTCTTTAAGTGGTTATTTGGTGGTGTTTGTTTTTTTTTTTTCTATATCACTTGTACATGAGTGCATTCTATAAATGCTATACTTTATGTGCAGTTTTAAAGTTCACCTTATGTAAAAAAAAATAATAAATGTACATGATTTTGCAGTTAAAAAAAACATGTACATATATAATTTTTTTACATTGCATTGCACCTGAGATTGATGCGGGGAGATGATTCCCCGTCTGCTGTCACGGGGGGGGGGGGGGGGTATGGTAGAAATGCAGGCAGGTGCATTATAATAACATGTAACATGTTACAAAGGTGAACTTATCCTTTAAGGCAGGGGTCTCCAAACTTTTCAAACAGAGGGCCAGCTTACTGTCCTTCAGACTTTAGGGTGGCCAGATTGTGGCCAGTGAGGGTAGAAAATGTCCCAGGAACCAGCATCATTGGGAATAAAAATGACCTCGGGGTTGATGGTTAGTAGGAGGAGGAGGAAGAATGCCCCATAATTGGTATTAGCAGGAGGAATAGTGCCCCATCACTGGTGAAAGAAATGTTGCCCCATTGTTGATGTCAGTGGGAGGAATAGTGCCTCATGTCATTGGAAGGATAGTGTAACAAAGGCTAGATAAAAGCTTGCAAAGTGCTGCATCTGGCCCTTGGGCCACAGTTTGGAGACCTCTGCTTTAAGGCATCCTCCAAACACGTTATTTAAAGAATGTTTGTATTTTTAATGTTGCCCTTCAAACCTCTTAAAAGGGCACTGTTCCCTTATTCCTATTCCTTAGGACAAAGGACAGACAAGCAAATGGTAAACACAAAATACTCCTGCACTTGGGGGTGAACTTGGTGTAGCTATGGATCCGTTTGGCAGATCCTGGATGTTGCACGCCTTGCTGCCCTCTGAGGAAGGGGTAAGTCCCCAAAACGTGTTAGCCTATTAGAGGTCCAGTGTTCCTTTGGGGATACCATATCAGGTGGACTGGACATTTCTGTTTCTTTTGATGAGCTTTTATACTATTATTCTTTGTGAGTATATCGCTATCTGCTACTTTTATCAATAAATGTAATTTAGGTAATGCACTAGGCCGGTGCACCCTCTGTTTGTCTCTTTGCAAAGGACAGACAAGGACTAGTTCAGCTTCCCTTCTTAGCTGATCCGTCCGGTCACCAGACTGGACTGATCTCTAATCAGTTTTACACCAGGTTAGGGACTTTTTCCCTGCCACTATCTGAATATTTACACAGTGATATACCATCTATCTGTGCCAGAACCCACAGAACACAGGGGAATGAGTTCCCTGTGACTTTGCTGGTTATTTTTTATGGGCAAGTATGTCACAGGAAACTCCTTCTCCAGAGTTCCCCGGGCACCTAGAGACCAGGGAAACTCCTCATTGCTCAAAGGGGTTCCTAGTTTTGGGGGAAAAAACACCTCTCAAAACATGGGATCTGAGACTTGTGTTGTGATCTGAGACCATTTTACTTTTACTTTCTGTCCCAGTGACAACATTGACAATACTATCCTTGTCACCAGATAGGAAGTGAGGGAAAACAAGCAGTGGGAATGCAGACAGCAATAACAACCTGACATAAGTTCTAGGGGTTTTTTTTTTTCTCTTCCCGCGGTTCATGTCTCCCTGCTTGAGATATTTCCTCATTTACTGTCCTGGTGACATGGTCGTCTTCAGAAGAGTATAGCCCAGTATAAACCTGACAAGGAGTCTAACCCTTCCCCAAACGTTCCGAAACTAAAACAAATTCTGGCTGGAGATATACATTAAATCCAAAACCAAAATTGCAGCTTACCTATTATCAGATGTGGTGTTGCATTAGTTTTCTTTTTTTTCTATTTTTTCTCTGGTGATCTGGCAAGTAACACACCTCCTGTATTAGAGTGCCAACAATCTGGATGGGCGAACACAGGGGGCACCTTTTGGATAGCAGCATTGTCAGTCAGTCTGGGGGGAGGGATGTGTTAACAGATTGCATTGTATTAGCAGATTTAGATACACTAACAAATTCAGCCAAATTCCAGCTAACACTTTATAATCAGTTAAAGCAGACAATTTTTTTTATCATTTTGGATAATAAAGGTTTTACATAAATAAAGGTGAATCATTGTAAGCACCTTTGTCAGTGGTAAATGGTTTGTCTCATCCCTGTAACTGATACTTCTGCAAGATATCTTGTTCTGTTGAAAAACAGACTTACTGGATGGATCACCAGATGAAAATAAAACAAATTAGAAAACAAATGCAAACATCACATCTAAGAAATGGTAAGCTGCAGTATAATAAATGTTTGCTTTTGGGTTTATTACCACTTTAGGACGGCCCATATTTTTAATCTTGTTTTCATATAATGTTTTTTTCATATAAGATTTTTTTTTCATATAACTGTTTTTCACTGTTCTTTCAAATTATTTTTAAAGATTAGGGATAGGCCCATTTTTTTTACTCATTTTGAAAAATTATCCTGATTTATGTAATTGTGTTTCTATTATTTTCCGGTATATTTCCACTACAATCCTCACTGATAAAGCAATACTGGAAATAGAAGAAACTAAAGTCAGCCATACTCTATAACATTATTGACAAAACAAATTGCAGCTAAGGTTAACCAGTGTTTTGCCATTGCTCACATTTTGACAAAGAATAAAAGAACACAGCGTTCCTGTTCATCTGTTGTAATGTAATGTATAAACTGGGTTAGTGTTTATTGTAAGTTAGACTGTAAATAAAGTACTCTATGCACATTAGGCCATTTAAGACAAATGATAACATTTGACAATAAGCTGCTTTTTATACTGATGAATGAGCCACTTAGGGTCTTTTGCAGTATGCTGGATTTTGTATGTGTTTGCAGAGTATTACAAGGAGTTTTTCTCACTGTATAAAAGATGCCACTATTCACATGCCAGCATTCTGAGGAACATTCAGTGTTTCATTTAGTGAATTACTTGTCCACTGGAGACAGCATGTAATGTCACTTAGCTGTACTTGGGGTTTTAATTTAACCATCAAAGAACTTCAAGTTATATTTATATTGGATGTGGGGTTTAAGAAACAGCTGGATCACATTTTAGCTAAAATTCCAGAGATTGATTATAAAAACGTCTATATAATAACTGTTGATGTACATATTGCATACTTAAAAAAAAAAAAAAAAATAACATATTGAGGTCAATTCACAAAAGGATATCGCATGAGATATTAGGGTCATGTGACACATTTAACGTAAATATCTAATGCGATATGAAAAATGTCAATTCAGTACAGGCTTATGCAGTATTTACTGCAAAAAGTAAGAAACACTCAGTAAATACCAAATAATACTGTCTAAAAGTCAATTCACAAAAAAAAAAATTTGTTAAATAAGGTCATTGTTAAGGAGTCAGCACCTGCTGAATCCTTAAAGCAGAATTCCACCCAAAAGGGGAAGTTCCACTTTAATGCTTTGTTCCCCGCCCCACATTAAGGATTGTTACCTTTGGGGAGCGAGGGGGGAGCGGGTACCCGAATTTGACAGGTACCCGCTCCCACTTCCGCTGCGATCGGAAGCGGAAGTTGTCCTCCCTCCCTCCCTCCCTGTAGTCTGCTGTTCTTCCATGTGACAGGTCCCAGAAGACTACAGAGTCATTCACAAAGCGCAGCGCTTCTCGTGAATGCGCAGTGGGCACCCGGCTGTGAAACCACAATCTGTCACAGTCAGGTGCCCACACTAAAGATGCCGGCGCCAGGGAGAGAAGACAGCCGGTGAAACCAGCGGTGGTGAGGATACCACTGGACAGAGGGACAGGTAAGTGGCTGTATTTTAAAAGTCAGCAGCTACACCTTTTGTAGCTGCTGACTTTTTTTTTTTCAGCTGGAACTCCACTTTAACAATAAGTGAATAGCTGGTTGCAGGGGTGGACTGAAAACTTATGGGGTCCCCGGGCAATAGGGGATCATGGGGCCCTGTGTACTTGCCCAAACTCAAAAAAGCCTATGAAAAAGGTACCAGGGGCATCTCATGGGGCCCCCTACTGACCCCGGGCCCTCGGGCAGTGCCTGAGTTTCCAAATGGTCACTCCACTCCTGGCTGGTTGTTAAAGAGCTGACACCTTCCACAGCCTTAACAACCAGTAAATAGGTGGTTGTTAAGGAGCCAGCACCCACCCGCTGCGTCCGCAGCAACCAGTGACTCATCTGCTGTCAGTGAGGATTCCCGAGGTACAGACTTTACTTTCAGTTAGAGAGTTGGAGGAAGTGTCAGTGGACTACAAGTACGGCAATCATCCCCCTTGTGTTCCACTGAGAACTACAAGTCTGTCTGCTCTAGTGGCAAGACAGGACTTCTAGTTTATACATTCACAAATCTCTGTGAATGAACAATATGGATATGCTGGCAAATATATATCTTAACTATATTACATTGATTAACTGTGTCCCCCAGGGAAAGCTGGAAGAAATGCTGGCTTTTTGTTCTTGTCATAAAGTTCTTTTGTCCAGTAGTTTGTCCATAGCTCCATTGAATCATGTTGATTGTTGTTTCTGTTGTAGGCCAATTTGTTTTCTCAATCCTTCCATCATTGCTATTTTGTTTACTGCTTGCTTCTCCAAAATTTGTTTAGTACTTAAAGGAGTACAGCTATTAGGAGGGGCAGCCGCTATTCCAAGACTCACTCTGTCCCCCAATGAACAACTGGAGACAAGGTTTTCCATGGTTTAGTAGATATATTGAGGTTAATTTACTCAAGGAAAACAGGTTGTTCACTTTGTAAGGGAAGTTACACTTTGCAAGGGAATTTTCCACAGAGCTTAGTGAATGCTGTGAAGCTCTACTAACTTCCATCATCCAATCATGTGCAAGCAAAAATGTTGGTATTTATTTTTCTGGCATGTGATTGGGTATTCTTTGCAAAGTGTAATTTCATCTCATTTACTAAGCTCTGGGGAAAATCTTTTGGCAAAGTGCAATTTCACTTGCAAAGAGAACAGCCTATTTGCCTTCAGTAAATCAATCCTATTAATCATACACTATATTGCCAAAAGTATTGGGACACCCCTCCAAATCATTGGATTCAGATGTTCCAATCACCTCCATGGCCACAGGTGTATAAAATCAAGCACCTAGGCATGCAGACTGCTTCTACAAACATTTGTGAAAGAATGGGTAACTCTCAGGAGCTCAGTGAATTCAAGCAAGGTACAGTGGTAGGTTGCCACCTGTGCAATAAGTCCATCACTGAAATTTCCTTGCTACTAAATATTCCACGGTCATCTGTTAGTGATATTATAACAAAGTGGAAACAACTGGGAACAACAGCAACTTGGCCACGAAGTGGTAGGCCAGGTAAAATGACAGAGCATTTCAGCACATGCTGAAGCGCACAGTGCTCAGAAGTTGCCAACTGTCTGAGAATTAAAAGCTAAAGACCTCCAAACCTCATGTGACCTTCAGATTAGCACAACAACAATGAGTAGAGAGCTTCATGGAATGGGTTTCCATGGCCGAGCAGCTGCATCCAAGCCTTACATCAGCAAGTGCAATGCAAAGAGTTGGGTGCAGTGGTGTAAAGCATGCTGCTACTCAACTCTAGAGCATTGGAGTACTGGAGTGAAGAATCACAAAATAGAACAGCCTCATGGTGCTGTATAAAAAAAAACAGGTGTTTATTAAATTAAAATATTCACTCACATTGTAGTGGATAGGATATGCAGATCACAAACTCCAAATAAAAATCCCAATAAACTTTCCACAGTCCTTTGTGTGATGATGTCACACATCATGTAGACTCTTCTCTACGCATTTCATCATATGGTGACATCATCAGGACATGAGTAGTGACTGTCATCACGCTATAAATACCTATCTAGCGTAAGGGAGGCAGACCGCTACGCCATATGGTCCAGAACTGAGGTGGACAACCAAAACAAAAAATCACCCCAGCCATATGAGCTCCAAAGACTGGAACTGAGGTAGCCAACAAGGTGGCAACCAGGGATTCCCTCAGTTTGAAGGGCTTTCCTCCCACTTCCTGTTATTGGTTATTGGACAGAAAGTAAAAGGAAATCTCACCAATAGAACACAGGTGGCAATTCAGTAGTGCTTAAGAAATGTCTGATGATGTGACCAATGCCCAAGGCTCTGCTAGATGACTCAGAGTAGTGACTTTAGGTGTAAATCATTGTAAAGGACTTAGCTCTACCCTTTTGGGGAAGGAGGCGATGTGGTCCTCAACTATCCCCAATAAATGAAGCTAAGAAATTCTTTTGCCGGACATTGTAGCTAAAAGGAAGGTAGTTTTTAGTGTCAAGTTCCAGATAAAGGCCCGCTCTACAGGGGCAAATGGATGATTGGTTAGAACCTCTAGGTCTAAGGAAAGATCCCACTTGGGAAAGGTCAATCTAGCAGGTGGATGGATCTTTAACACTCCTCTAAGAAATCTGATCACTAGAGGATCTTCTGCCCATCTTGTACTAATTGCTGCTGATATTGCTACCACACCTGAACTTTGAGCGAGGTCAATGTAAGGCCCAAATCAAGACTGGTCTTGAGGAATCCCAATATGTGGGAAAATAATGGAGAAACTAGATCAAAACCTTTTCAGGTGGCGTACAAAACTAATTTGTCCCAGATTCTTGTATACAGTAAATGGTGCTTGTTGTTGGTTTCCTAGCTTTAAGAGGGGTGGATATTCACAACCTAAGGATTAAAACCTTCTCTTCTCAACCACCAGACTGGAAGGTCAAGCTTCTGTAGGCTTGGACAAGTACATTTGGCCTATGTCAGAAGACGGGGAAAAAGAGGGATCCTCATTGAGGACACATGCTGACATGCATTGCTAATGGAAACCATGGCTTCTTCGGTCAATAGGGTATTACCTGCAACATTTCCTTTAGTAGTTGCAAGAGAAATTTCAATATGAGTATATAAGGAGGGAAGGCATATGTAAGCTCCAAGGAGCAGGGCCCTCCTAACCCTCTTGTATTGAAATGTACTGTTGGTGTATTGTCTCCCGTTATATTGTAAAGGGCTGAGCAAACTGTTTGGGCTATATAAATCCTGTATAATAATAATATGCTGTGGTGCCACGGGCATGGCAGTGCATCCACTGCTTTTGCTTGGGGATGTGGCAGCCATGATAAGAACCGAGGAAGTTTGGCATTTTCTGGAGAAACAAATAGATCCACTTATGGCTGCCCCCAGAGGTTGGTAATCTGCTGGAATATGTGCAGATGAAGAGCCCACTCATTGTCTGTGAACTCTTTTGACAACATGTCTGCTTCCCTGTTTAGTCTGCCTGATAGAGACCTTGCCTTTAGGTCCTGCAAGTTCTTAGTACTCTCACTTCTACTTCTCTTAGAAGTGTTTTGATTCAGGTACTCCCCTGCCTCTGCAGATATGGGGATACAGAACCATTTGCAGGCAATAGAAGTGGCGTGCATGTGCGACGTGTCTGTGCAATACAAATGGTGAGGTCTCTGAGATGCAGAAGACAGCGATCCCTCCAGTGACTCGGCGTGCCCCCCCCCCCCCGGCCAATCAGAGACCGCAGCATAAAAAAGGTCAAAGCATACATGCCCTAGCCGCCAAGAAGTGAAGAGGGAAGCCAAGCCAATGAAAGTAAGGGGAAAGAAAGGTAATTAAAACTAATGCCTAAAAGGAGAAAAAGGATAATGAAAGGAGCAAACCAATCCTCCTGCCCCAGCCACCCTAACAGACACCATGAGAAAGCAGACTGCATTCCTATGAGGAAACTCTGCTTACCCCAAAAGATCCACAGAAGGGGCTCCCAGTCTTATCAGCGCTGTTTGTGGCCCAAGAACAGGGGACTGCGCACGGACCTGGAGGACACTGCACTTGGCAGAGGTAGGGACATACTACAACTCTTCACCAGTCATGAGGGGTGGATGTGTCTTTCTTTCAAGCTAGTGTACAATCCAAATGCACACGTACCTGCATTAAAAATGGCTGTGTGTATAAGTTGGTGCTACAGCGACCGTAGGCTGGAACCGAACAAAATCGGCAAGGGAGAATGTCACCAGCACACCGAGGATCACCAATATGGGTCGAAAAGTTTTAATAAATGATCACATAGTTACAGCAAGGCAAAGTTTTGGAGTCTTGCAGGACCCCTTCATCAGACATGTGCCTGATGAAGGGGTCCTGCGAGACTCCAAAACGTTGCCTTGCTGTAACTATGTGATGCATGTGCCTGATGAAGGGGTCCTGCGAGATTTCAAAACGTTGCCTTGCTGTAACTATGTGATTGTTTATTAAAACTTTTGGACCCATACTGGTGATCCTCGGTGTGCTGGTGACATTCTCCCTTTCTTTCAAGCTATTCACTAGTCCTGAGGGGGGAGTCGAGGCAGAGCTCTATCACCTGTATGCTGCTATGAAGGCACCAGGAAAAAAGGTTTGCCTATAGCTCTACTTTAAGAATACATACTTAAATAATTTTTGTTTAAATCAGTTTAGTGCCACTTTAAATGTATTTTAAAAGTGTGTTTTTCTTTTCAAGCTGCGGCATATTCTGCCAAAAAAAAATGTAAGTAGATTAAACTGTTTCCTCCACCGTTTTCAGACTTACCTATAGATTCCAGTGACTGCTGATGGTTTCAGCATTTGTGCTGACTTTTTGTCTACAGTGTGAATGTTGGCAAGCAAAGCAGTATCAGCAGCCTGAAATAACATACACAGAACTTTACAAATAGATTACTACACTTAAGTATCTCTGCTAGTTTAAACAACAATGAAAAAGAACAAGCACTGTTAACTATTGAGTGCAGGCTGTCCTCCAGCTATTTATATAGGAATTTATATAGGAATGAACTTATTAAATAGTTACATATTGGTTATACTGAATAGAGGCATCTGTGCATGAAATTTAGTAACTAAGAATCATCTAAAATAGACAAGACTAATACAAACTGATAACTCTGTGGAGAGATATTTTATTGGAACCCTGTCATTTTTACATAATCTGTATGTAAACAGAATCACATGCAACCATATTACTGTTATTCATCTGTACATCTTTTTTTCCCTTTATTTTCACCTGGTACTTACAAGCAGCTTTTATTAATTTAT